CGACACCGAGTTCGATTCCCGCTCCTGGCCAACACCAGTGACGATTATCTTTAACGGTCTTGGGCCTCCCCTAGGTCGACTCGGTCTCAAATGGTGTGTAAACATCACCACTGGGAAGACAAAGGCGGCCGGGCGTGGTTCTGGCCACCCCACCTCTTCGTGTGCCGTGCCGGCCTTCATAGGTGCTACTCGCTAACAGCACTTGCCCCAGCAGACTGGTGACGGCTTCACGTGCAACAAGTTGATCTTGACCTGTTACTGCGCGTGTGTTTGCTGAAAGGCGTGGGTTTCTGCCAAGACATGTCAGATGTGTGCCTCACTTATCCCCCCCCCCCACCCCAAAAAAAATGTTGTGCCTCATTATGAATCAGAGGAATGCGGGAGTGACCCCCCTCGTGTCGAACAAGACCACGTGATGCTCACGACAGGGCTGGGTCCCTGTCCCTTCACTGATGTGTGCGTATCTGTTAGAGCGGTGGTTCTTAACCTTGCGTAGAGGAGTAAAATGGGGACGTGACGTCAGGTGTGCCGTTCAGTGCGATGACGTCAAGTCTCCTAGGGTACTTCAGGGATACCCCGTGACGTAGGCGGGGTCACTGTGGGAACGGGTAGAGTAAGAAGAGTGAAGAGGGAACCAGGGGTAGAGAGAGGGATCGAATAGGGGAGTCTGGGGAGAAGCCGGTGGTAGCCGTAGAGGTGCTTCTCTCTCCGCTCGGTGGAGCGGTGGTTCTTAACCTTCTACTACAGCCTGCATCCATTTGCTTCTCAACCATTAACCACTGTGGCAAAACATGCGAAATGGTTAGGGGGCCTGGTTCAGTTGTCACTCGGCAATGGATGCGACCAGTGCCCCTGGATCGAACCCAGGTCACTGGGAGGGCAGAGGGGGGGGTGTTTGTTTCGGAGCGAAATGTTCCAAAAGCTGCGCCACATCGCAACAATGTCCTAGGTTTGGTGTGTTTGCTCTGTGGGATGGTGACATCACCACGCGTTTCACTAGTCCAGGGGTCGGCAACCTACGGCTCCGGAGCCGCATGCGGCTCTTTACGGGCTGCTTCTTGACGATGAGTACGTATGTACTCAGATGCATTGCGGCTCTTGAAATACTGAATTTTGTACCGAATTGGAAAGAAATGGCTCTTCTTGTTATTTTGGTTGCCGACCCCTGCACTAGTCGGTTCGTGGCTGCTTGGGATTGGGGGAGCCGGGGGCAGCAGGGGAAGAATGGAGGAGGGAGCGAGGTGTGTGTGAGGGGGAGGGGGCTTACCTGGGCGAGGAGGTGCACGGATAAGTGGTCGCAGATTATGTGGAGTGAGCAGTGATGAGATTGTGAGGATTGTCCCCCACACCCACCACCCACCCACCGCTCCCATGACACTCCCCAAGGCGCTGGAATTAATTGGGGGGGACAAAAAAAACAGCACGGAGCACGCGAACTCCTCTACCTCCTCCTCCTCCTCCCTCCTCGTCCTGCGGGTAGGCCAGCCCAGCTCGCCAGGGCAAGACGCCGCAGCCCGCCCACCTCAATCCCCGTTCTAATTCACAGCCCCGCGGCCAAATTTTAGGACGGCGATGAACGTAACATTTCAACTCGGAATGCCGCCGCCGCCGCACAGGATTCACTTATTAAAAAACATTTTTTTTTTTCTTGAACAGGTATGGCACACTGACCTATAACAGCTCTTTTTCAGAAGCGACCTGGCCACACACACGATAGCTCAATGAAGTGTTTTTTTTATCACGTGGAAATGTGTAACAGCCAAATACTATAAACGCATGATGTTGATTCTCAATGTGGAGGGAAAAACCGGAGGACCCCGGATAAAAATCCACGCGACCACAGGGAGAGAGAGAGACTCGTAAACTCAGAATACACAGCCGGCGTCAGGGTCGGGATGGAACCCACGACCTCCTGCACACCAGGCGAGGTAGTTGACATCTCCTAGCCACCGTGATGATGATGATAGAGAGAAACGCAAATACGCAGCAGCAGGCGTCAGGGTCGGGATGGAACCCATGATCTCCTGTATACCAGGCGAGGTAGTTAACATCTCCTAGCCACCGTGATGATGATGATGATGATAGAGAGAGACGCAAATATACAGCAGCAGGCGTCAGGGTCGGGATGGAACCCATGACCTCCTGTATACCAGGCGAGGTAGTTGACATCTCCTAGCCACCATGATGATGATGATGATAGAGAGAGACGCAAATATACAGCAGCAGGCGTCAGGGTCGGGATGGAACCCACGACCTCCTGCACACCAGGCGAGGTAGTTGAAATCTCCTAGCCACCGTGGTGATGATGAGAGAGAGAGACGCAAATATACAGCAGCAGGCGTCAGGGTCGGGATGGAACCCACGACCTCCTGTACACCAGGCGAGGTGATTAACATCTCGCCATCTCTGGCACCCTCTCTTTTGTTGCGTGCAACTTCATTGTCACCAAAGGCGCCTCCAACACCGAAGCGATCTGTTGCGCGACAAAATTGCTCATCCCGAAATCCGCGTGATTTCATTGCTACCTGCAACTGCTTTGTCCACATCTGAGCGCGTGCGGTGCTCAGTATCGTAACGACCAACCAGAGGTTTGCAAATGTCCATCACGTGATGACGAAACGCGTTGCCGCAGATCACTCGCTTGAAAACTGACTGCGTCTCCCTACTGCGAGCAACCGGTTGCGCAACTCGACTGGAAAGAAGAGAGACCCCCAGGTTTACAAAAGCGATGCAGTTCCATGCAACCAAGTTGGACACAGCTGATCGCTCGGGTAAGAAATGTGCGTTTACGCATGCGTGTGTGGAACCCCCTCTTGCAACCAATCGCGCAATCAGTTGCTTGCAGTATTGAGTCAAATTCGGCTTCTCAATGGATCTGCTCGGCGGCGATTTGGAGCGATCCGTTTCGTACCAACGCGTGCCGCGCGTTCGCAGACTCCGACCGGAGCGTCCCGATCGTCAATAAACGGGCACGCTCTCTTCGACCGTTCCTCGTGGTGCTCGCCACTCGCTTGGATGTGGACAAGGGAGTCTATCCCAGGGTTCTAGATTTGAAGCTTTCGTGACTGCAAGGATTCATACTCTTAGATCTTTCGGTAAAGTCACCATGTAGGTAAAAAAATGAGATTAAAATTAATAAAAAAATAAAAACAATAAAATCACGACGTTTCGGAGGCAACACAAGCGTCCGTCTTCAGGTGAAACTGTCACAGCAAAAAATCTGTATCAAGTGGACTTGATTCACCTGAAGACGGAAGCTTGTGTTGCCTCCGAAACGTCGTGATTTTATTGTTTTTATTTTTTATTAATTTTAATTTCATGTTTTACCTACGTATCTATCCCAGGGGTTGTTAACCTTGAGGTGCACGCACCCCCCTTGGGGTTGCGAGATGCCCTTTCTGAGAACCACTGCGTTGTACCGTCGCGTTGAAACCTCCCACCCCGGATTGTGCGAAAAACGATCCGATAGATAATGAAAATGTTAAGATAATTACCAGTCCTAGGAGAGCCCCGGGGTTTTGTTCTATCGTTTTATTCCTTATTTTATGACTCTTAACCAAGCTCGTATTTAATGTTTATCACCAACTGCGTCGACTTGTTTGCTTGTGACCGACACCACTGTTTGTTAGCATCGTCATTCGGGGATAAGGGTGGTTGGTGGTGGTGGTGGTGACGGCAACAGCGCAGGAGCAATAGTCTTGCTTCACACCCAGAAGCGCATGGGTTCGATGCCTGACACGGGCGCCTTAAACTATTTGGAGTTAGTATGTTCTCTCCAAATTTGCGAGGAGTGTGTGTGAAAGCGTGCGTTCATGGTCTCAACCCGGTCACCAATTACTGCACGAAAAAAAAAATATCCGTATTATATTTTGTGGTTTCACTTATATTTTGGGTAACTTCCAGCTCTCAGAATAAAATGTGTTTTTGTCATGCGACTGAGGCTAATCTGAGAAGGCAGAGTGGTTGATGAAGTGCTGCCCCACGGTATGAGAACCCGAGGTCACTTAGAAGGGATCTCAGAGGTAGCTCTGTGGTATCCGCTTCAGTTGGCCGCTTTTTGACACGAAAACCAAAATATAAGTTTGACCGCCACATAGCTGAGTTGCGAGTCCACTTACGGATTTATAAAGCATCACAACATATTCTTGGTTCTTTCGGTAAAGTCACGTAGAAAGGAAAAAAACAATAATAAAAATAAAATAATCAAATTGTTTATTGGTTTTCCCTTCGACGTGACTTTACCGAAAGAACCAAGCATATGAATCCCTGCAGTCACGAAAGCTTTAAATCGAAACATCACAACAAAGTGAGTCGTGGCTATCAGAGCCGGTTCACCTTGCAACGATTTTCGCAATCGGATACCGGTTCGAGAATCGGAATCATAATATTTTCTTGGTTCTTTCGGTAAAGTCACGTAGAATGGAAATAATAAAATAATAAAATAAAACATAATAAAATAATTCTCACGACGTTTCGGCCACAACGCAAGCAGCCGTCCTCAGGTGGAGAACAGTCATTCAGACTGTCTTCTCGACAGACCTGTTCTCCACCTGAGGACGGCTGCTTGCGTTGTGGCCGAAACGTCGTGAGAATTATTTATTATGTTTTATTTTTATTATTGTATTATTTCCTTTCTACGTGACTTTACCGAAAGAACCAAGCATATTAATCCCCGCAGTCACGAAAGCTTTAAATCAAAACATCACAACAACGCGAGTCGTGGCTATCAAAGAGAACAGACAGGGACGAGACAATTCTAGCCGTGGAGCTATCCAACATCTCTCACATTGCCGATGACTGCCCAACCAAGTCCAGCGGAGGGGCTGACGATAAAACGCACAGGGCCACCGAGCACGCTTATACCGATTACGAAGGTCAGAGGGGACGCGGGTTAGGGTTGGGTAGCGAGCGGCTGCGGGGAGAGGGGGGTGTTGGTCAGGATGCGGCGGTGTGGGGGATGGGGAGCGCGTTGTGTGTGAGGTGGGTGTCTGTCGAGACCGGCTTACGCGTTTCTCCGGTGAGTTTGCGGGGAGCGTGCGCGTCTACTGCTCAGTGGAGCGGCGGGTGTCCTAGCAGTCAGCGCTCTGCACCGCGAAACCTCAGCGATTTTCACGTTCACAGCCGCCAACACCGCCGGCGACTATCTGAACCGGTCGTGGGCCTCCCCTTAGGTCGACTCAGCCTCAAATTAGTAGCTTTGCGTGGTGTGTAGTCAACATCGTCACTCGGCAAAAAGGCGGCCGGGCGCGGTGCTGACCACCCACCCCGCTCGTGTTCCCTGCCGGCCTAATAACACTTGTCCCCAACAGTGGAAGGATCTTTGTCTTCGTGTCTTCTACCAGCGGACGACGCTGACAGGCTCGCGGTCAACAGAAGTCTCGACGAACTGAGCGCGGGGGTCATGGCGCGCGTGTGGATTCTCCTCTGTCTCTGTTGTGGGGTGAGTGCCAAAGTTTGTTGATTTTTTTGTGGAGGTCATTTAACTACCCAGAGTTCATCCCAAATTGTGGCCTGGGCATCACGCCCAAGGGAACAATAATCCCCTTTTCGGCATCTCTCTCAAACTAAATGCGATGAAATTGTATTCGCAATGTATTCGCATGGGCGATGTGAGGATTAGATTTTGGGATACCCTGATTCACATTTTTGGTAGAATCAAATATTTTACTAAACCAAGTTCTTTCGCATAGCGAGGGAGAGCTTGGTTTCAGCCATGCTCTGATTTGCATTTTTCTTGCTTTTTAAAATATTTTTAAAAAAATCCTTTATATTAAGTTCACTTGCTTGCTTGCACGCTTATGACCGTGCAGATCTTTCGGTCGTTTTTTAACCCACTTCCCGTGATCCAATCGAGCTGACATTTGCACACAGACTCGTTGTGCGTGACAATTTATTTTCGTGAAAAAAATTTCCGTAACTTTACACTTGTTAGGAACATTTTTTTTATATTTAATTACCAATTGCTTAATGGTGGCAGGCAATCATCTGACCCATAGGTGGCAGCCATCTCAAGCCAGAGGACGAGAGGACTCTGGCCGCCACGCATATAAAGGATTTATAGTGAAAAACTTTGTTTTTACGAGTTAATTTTTTTAAACTCCTATTGAGACGACAGGTGGAAATTCCACATTCCCATGACTGAGGTCAGTCTACTCATAGTACGATCGCTGATACGGCTGTGGAATAGATTCGCATTTATTGGGCGCTTACATTACATGGTGGCACTCATCTTCTTGGTTCTTTCGGTAAAGTCACGTAGAATGGAAATAATAAAATAATACAAATAAAACATAATAAAATACAATTCTCACGACGTTTCGGCCACAACGCAAGCAGCCGTCCTCAGGTGAAGAACAGGGCTGTCGGAAAGACAGCGTCTGAATGAACGTTCAACATTTGTTCAACAAACGTACATACATTCGGACGCTGTCTATCCGACAGCCCTGTTCTTCACCTGAGGACGGCTGCTTGCATTGTGGCCGAAACGTCGTGAGAATTGTATTTTAATATGTTAAATTTTTATTATTATTTCCCTTCTACGTGACTTTACCGAAAGAACCAAGAAGATGAATCCCTGCAGTCACGAAAGCTTTAAATCGAAAAAAATGCTCGCACTCATTACAACACACAATGCTTGCCATAAATGAACCACAAAACCTTGCTGATCTTCTTGGTTCTTTCGGTAAAGTCACGTAGAATGGAAATAATAAAATAATAAAATAAAACATTATAAAATGATTCTCACGACGTCAAGGAGCATAAACCATCAACCACGTGAACTGCGGTCACCCTCGCAGCAGCAGCGGCTTTAGTCGAACCACCGAACAAAGACGGTTTTCACCGCGTCGTGCGGCGTTTTCAGATGCGCTTCTGTGGCCGTCTGGAACGCTCTTCCTTCAGATATCAGGAAACCGCTGGAGCTCATCACTTTTAAATCATCTAGGTTGACAAACTCATTTCTTTAGAACTGCTTTTTTGGTGTTTAGCGTGTCCTTCCTCCGCACCTCCGATTGGCACGGCTGGCTACGTACCAAAGGTCGCAAACGGGTTTTGATTCCTTACCCGTACCCGTACCCGGCCGCACCAGGGTCGCAAACGGGTAGCCGTACCCGGCCGTACCCGTACCCTACCCGTACCCGGCCGGGTATTGGGTAGGGTACGGGTATCGGGTACCTGATTGCGACCTCTGGGATGAAGCCATATTGCAGGCGCGGGTGGGTTGATTCTAGGAACTTGAATTGTGAGAAGAAACAAGACGTTGGGAAATGAGTGAGAAACGGTGACTCACCAGTGACTCACGGTCTACCCGTACCCGGCCGTACCAGGGTCGCAAACGGGGACCCGTACCCGTACCCGGCCGGGTACAGGTAGCCGGGTATCGGGTAGGGTACGGGTATCGGGTACCCGGTTGCGACCTCTGCTACGTACCATGCGAAAGACGCTCAATATTAATTTCGATTTAAAGCTTTCGTGACTGCAGGGATTCATCTTCTTGATTCTTTCGATAAAGTCACGTAGAAGGGAAATAATAAAAAATCAGGTTTTATTTTTATTATTTTATTATTTCCCTTCTACGTGACTTTACCGAAAGAACCAAGAAGACGTTCAACATACGTACATACATGTGCTCACATGATAATTGGTTTTTTACCCTTCTATCTGGCAACAAAACAGACACCTTTTTTACAAGGAGTCATGTTTACATAGACCACAATACCTGCAGCCATAATGCAAAAAAACATAACTCTGATAATATATGCACTGTCCTTGAAGTTGATTGACAGTGCATATATTATCAGGGTTATGTTTTTTGTTTGCATTATGGCTGCAGGTATTGTGGTCTATGCAAACATGACTCCTCAGTCAGTTTTATTGCCAGATAGAAGGGTAAAAAACCAATTATCATATTTTTTACTGGCAAATGAGGTTCCAATGGTGTATGTGCTCGCATCTCAACGTGTATCCTGTCTCATCTCCATCATTCTACTGCCCGGCTTTAGTTCGTACGTGGTTTATCGTAGGAAACCCCGTGATTGAACGCTGTCCCCGTGCGCCACAAGGTGAACGCAAACAAGTAGGTATTCCTCTATCAGTAGGCGGCGATGGTTATTCTATTGAAGTAATGTCGGGTATGACGCCAGCACGCATGGTGGTGATGATGATGTTAAAATGTTGACCTGCTTGGGTGTGTACTTGTTATGACAATAGGTTTTCCACTTTTTTCTGGCAACAAAACAGCTGTGTTAAGATGTTACAACACCAAACTGAAACCTTTTACAAGTAACCATGTCTGCATTAACCACAATACTTGTGGTCAGAATGCAAACAAAAACATACTCTGATAATCTATGCATTGCCTTTGAAACTGATTGGTCCACACCAGAGACAGCTTTCTTTTGAGCCTCGTCTCAAGCGGTGTTAGACCAGAAGACGCCAAAAGGGGGAAAACCGATTCTTATATTTTGGTACTGGCAAAGGAGGTCCCATGATGTGTACTTCTTGTTGAGTAGATTAACACCACCCACCCACTCATCAACAAACCCTCCCACCCACTCACCCATGCATACACACAAGCACTCATCCACCTACCCACCCAGCCACTCGTTTATCCACCCATCTGCTCAACCATCCTTCCACCTAATCACCCACTTATCCATCTATCCACTCAACCACTCAATCATCCACTCACTTATGTACTCAACCACCCACCCACCCACTCACCCATCCATCCTCCAACCCACCTGTCCACCTAGCTACCAACCATTCACTCATCTACCCACTCACCCACACACGCACTCACTCACTCCCTCACTTACCCACCCACCCATCCACCCACCCAAATACAAAGATCCCCCGTATAGCCTTGAAAAGACTGTCGGGGCAAGTGCTGTTCGCGAGCACCTATGTTACCCGGTACGGCACACGAAGGGTGAGTGGCCAGCACCAGGTACTCATTTGATGCTGAGTCGGCCTAGGGGAGGCCCAAGACTGGTTAAAATAATCGTCGCTGGTGTTGGCCGTGAACGGGAACCGAACTCGGGATGCCGGGTTCGGAGCGCAGCGCGCTAACCACTGCACCACCGCTCCTCACCAAGTAATTCACCATTTATCAATTCACTCATCCATTCACTCACTCACCACCCCTGACCACGAGGGCGATGCTGCATTCCACTGCGGCTCTCTCTCTCTCCCCCTTTTTTTTACGATCAGTGGAAACAAGAAAATGCTCCATGTATTCGGCACTTTGCTTCATTCATCATTTCGTATTTTTTTTTTACTTTGCTTTATGTAAACCCCCACCTCTCGCTCAACTCTCTCGCTCTCTCGCTCGCTCTCTCGTTCTGCACGCAGCCCTTCTCGCATTCCGACGGCCTCCGACGGGTAGCTCATATCAGCATATTCTTAGGGTTTTTTTTGTGAAGTCACGTAGGTAAAATGTTTTAATTTAAATTAATAAAATTAATAGAAATAAAAATCACGTTTCGGAGGCAACACAAGCTTCCGTCTTCAGGTGGAACCGTCACAGCACGATAGCTGTATCAAGTGAGTATCAAGTGAGTATCAAGTGAGATACAGCTATCGTGCTGTGACGGTTCCACCTGAAGACGGAAGCTTGTGTTGCCTCCGAAACGTGATTTTTATTTTTATTAATTCTAATTTTTTTACCTACGTAACTTTTACCGAAAAAACCTAAGAATATTAATCCTTGCAGTCACGAAAGCTTCAAATCTAGAATCATATCAGCATGTCCGTGTCCCCCCACCCCCCGAAATCCAAACTCTGCCTCTAGGTGTCAAAGTGGTGGGGTGCGCAAGGATCTCCCTCCTCTGCCATCAGACGACGCAGAGGCTGGGGGACCCCTCCCATCACCGTCACCGAGGGCGATGGACAAGGAGTGCCCAGATACCTCAGATTCGTAAGGAGGAGGAGGCGGACGATGAATACGACGATGAATGCTGATGATGATGATGTTTCTTCTTGGTTCTTTCGGTAAAGTCACGTAGAAGGGAAGTGATAAAATAATAAAAATAAAACATAATAAAATAATTGTGAGAATTATATGCTATGTAGCTAAATTTCGATTTAAAGCTTTCGTGACTGCAGGGATTCATCTTCTTGGTTCTTTCGGTAAAGTCACGTAGAAGGGAAGTAATAAAATAATAAAAATAAAATATAATAAAATAATTCTCACAACGTTTCGGCCACAACGCAAGCAGCCGTCCTCAGGTGAAGACCAGGTCTGTCGGGGAGACAGCGTCTGAATGAACACCACCACGCTTGGAGCGTATATATTTTTTTACGTTTTATTTTTATTATTTTATTATTTCCCTTCTACGTGACTTTACCGAAAGAACCAAGAAGATGAATCCCTGCAGTCACGAAAGCTTTACATCGAGATGATGATGTTGTTGTTCTTGCTGTTGCTGATGGTGGTGGCGGTGGTCATTGATGGGAGGCTGATTATTGTGGTTGCTCATGGTTGCTAAGGGGCCTACCATAAATGACGTCACGCACCTGGGGGGGGGGGTCAGACATTTGTGACGATGTGTGACGAGGGGGGGGGGGGGTTCAGAAATGTGACGTCACATCAAAATGCGCAACTTTAAATAAATATATACAACACGTTCTACTTAATTAAATAAACTTTTTAATACATTTCGATTTAAAGCTTTCGTGACTGCAGGGATTCATCTTCTTGGTTCTTTCGGTAAAATCACGTAGAAGGGAAATAATAAAATAATAAAAATAAAACATGATAAAATAATTATCACGACGTTTCGGCCACAACGCAAGCAGCCGTCCTCAGGTGAAGAACAGGTCTGTCGGAAAGACAGTGTCTGAATGAGTCTGAACTTTTTAATAAATGTTTTCTACTACAACATCAGAGTGCAGCGCCACATTAAATACGCACTACAATGACAATAGTTTAAAGCGATTTGAAGCATGTTTTATTTTTTGGGGGGGGGGGGGTGCAGAGCTTTGTGACGTCATATTTGAGGGGGGGGGGCTCTGACTTTTTGTGACGCCGTGTGACGAGGGGGGGGGGTCAAAAATCGTCAAAAATCGCGTGACGTCATTTATGGACGGCCCTAAATGGTGGCGTTGCTGGCGGTGAAGATTATATCCGTTGCTGTGATTCTAATGATGATTGTGATGGCGGTGGTGATGATCATATCTGGCTCTGTGCTTAAACATCATCGCCACTGGGGAGACAAAGGCGGCCGGGCGTGGTGCTGGCCACCCACCCCCTCGTGTGCTGTGCCGGCCATCATAGGTGCTCGCTAACAGCACTTGTTCCAACAGTCTGTTAAGTGTATAAGGGAGATATTTGTTTTTGATGATCATGAATGTGATGTTGATTTGAGTGGTGATGATGGTTATGGTGATGGTAATGATTGTTGTGACCGTGATGATTGTGGTAATGATTGTGGTGATGATGGTGATGATGATGACGATTGTGGTAGCGATGATGGTTATTGTGGTAATTCTAATGTTGATGTTGGTGATGATTGTGGTGGTGGTGATGATGGTGATGATTGTGGTGATGATGGCAATGATTGTGGTGATGATTGTGGTGATGATGGTAATGATTATGGTGATGATTGTGGTGATGATTATGGTGATGATTGTGGTCAAGGTAATGATTATGGTGATGATGATGGTAATGATTATGGTGATGATTGTGGTAATGATTATGGTGATGATTGTGGTGATGATTATGGTGATGATTGTGGTGATGCTAATGATTATGGTGATTATGATGGTGATGATTGTGGTGATGATTGTGGTGATGGTAATGATTATGGTGATGATTGTGGTAACAATTATGGTGATGATTGTGGTGATGATTATGGTGATGATTGCGGTGATGGTAATGATTGTGGTGATGATTATGGTGATGATTGCGGTGATGGTAATGATTGTGGTGATGGTAATGATTGTGGTGATGATTATGGTGATGATTGCGGTGATGGTAATGATTGTGGTGATGATTGTGGTGATGATTGTGGTGATGATTGTGGTGATGATTGTGGTAATGATTGTCGCGATTTCCGCAGGTCATCTCGGACATCTCAAAGCTCATGGAAGTGACGTACGTGATGACGGGGGAGGGGGTCGACCAACCCCCACTCGGGGTCTTCTCGATGGACCCTAAATTCGGACGCATTTACCAGCAGAAGGTGGTGGACCGTGAGGAGATCCCCACTTACACCGTAAGGATCACTCACTCACTCTCTTGACGGTTCAATCACCCAGCCAACCACCATCCTAACCATTCATTCACTCAATCACTCACTCACTCACTTACTTTCTCACTTGCCTGCTCGCTTACTTCCTCGACGGCTCAATCACCCAGCCAACCACCATCCTACCTATTCACTCGCTCGCTCAGTTGCCCGCTCATTCGTTCACTCAATCGACGGCTCACTCGCCCACCAATTAATTCACCATCTATCGATTCACTCACTTATCTATTCGCTCACTCGCCCATCTACTTGCCTGCGCACCCACTCACTCGTTGACTCACCTGTTGACTCGCTCATCCACTCGATCGCTCTCTCACTCAAACACGTTCCTTCGGAGTGGGCAGGTAGGAACTTGGTTGGACAGCGCATTCGTGCACGACAGAAAGCTCGCGGTCACGTGACGCACTTCAACCAATCCGGGGGCGTACTACATGTTTGGGAGGGGCTATGCGCGACAGACAAATAATCCCTGGTGGGCAGTGTGGAACTGTTGTTCCTACTTGTATAATCCACCCACCTACTCACCCATCCATCCACTAACTTCGCTCATTCACCTAGCGACTTACTCACTCACCCATACACTCTTTAAATCGAGTTTCATTTTTACCAAAATTAAAAAAAATGTGTTTCTTCTTATTTTGGTTGCCCACCCCTGGTGTAGGCTATATCATACGGTGGCAAGATGTTAACTCCCTCGCCTGGTATGCAGGAGGTCGTGGGTTCGATATCTACCAATACGCCTGTTTGTTTGGAGTTTGCATGTTCTCCCCGTGGTCGCGTGGATTTTTATCCGGGTCCTCCGGTTTTCCCTCCACATTTAGAATCAACACGCGTTTAGAGTCAGTTTAACACGTAGGCTTTCGCGACCAATATCATCCAAAATAGAGTTTTTTTGTGGTTAGATCGCGTAAATCTAACCCATAAAACCCTCTATTATCGATGCGTTGAGAGTGTTTGGCTGCTATACGTTTCCACACGATGATAAGCCACTTCGTTGAGCTGTCATTTTTGATGGCCAGGTCGCTTCTGTAAAAGAGCTACACACAGCTCAGTGACACCTTCCCGGCCGCGGTGATTGAGATGTTAACTTCCTCGCCTGGTATGCAGGAGGTCAGTAGTAGGGGCCTTGTACATGTGTGGGTTGGTGACCTTGGTGTTAATTCTAGATTTGAAGCTTTCGTGACTGCAAGGTCTCATATTCTTAGGTCTTTTTCGGTAAAGTCACATAGGTAAAAAATTTAAATAAAAATTAATAAAAGTAAAAGAAAAATAATATAAATATTTTTTTCACTTTTATTTTTATTAATTTAAAAATTTAACCTACGTGACTTTTTACTTTTATTAATTTTAATTTTAATATTTTTACCTACGTGACTTTACCGAAAAAAACCTAAGAATATGAGACCTTGGTGTTGTTCACGTGGTGTGTGTGTGTGTGTGTCGGGCGGCAGCTGAAGGTGCAGGCCTACGATGAGCAGGGCAACGCACTGGAGACCCCGTTCGACCTCGTCATCCACGTGAAGGACATCAACGACAACGCGCCGCAGTTCTCGCGCGCCACATACCCGGCCAGCGTCACCGAGGGCGCCGCCAAGGGTACGTCCTCACCACCCCACGGGGCTGCGTTTGGTCGAGCGGTGGAGTCGATTTTGATTTTTTTGATTTTGTTACAAAAAATTGTATCAGGTAGAAAGGTCCCCCCCCTCCCCCTCTCCAACTAACTGAAGCTATGTACAGTAGTTTGACACGTAAGGCTTTCGTGACCAATATTATTCATAATGAAGGGTTTTGGGTTAGATCGCGTTATTTATAAATGTGTCGTAACCCGCCACTACCCGACACGGTTAAAACAGTAAAACATGTGTCACGTTTACAAAGGACAAATAGTTCACTACTTTTACAGGTAGGAACAACAGGTTCCACACTGCCCACCAGGGATTATTTGTCTGTCGTGCATAGCCCCTCCCAAACATGTAGCACGCTCCCGGATTGGTTGAAGTGCGTCACGTGACCGCGAGCTTTCTGTCATGCACGAATGCGCTGTCCAACCAAGTTCCTACCTGCCCACTCCGAAGGAACGTGTTTGAGTGAGAGAGCGATCGAGTAGATGAGCCCACCAGGGATTATTTGTCTGTCTGTCTGACGTGCATATCCGGAATTCCGCCCACCCATGCACCTCCCCACCGAACACCGAGCTACGCCGAGATTGGCAGTGGATTGACTCTGGCCGACGACGATCGTGATGAGGGTTCGTTGCGTGTATGCCATGTGCGTGCAGGTACATTCGTAGTGCAGGTGATGGCATCGGACCGGGACGAGCCCGGAACCCCGGCCACTGCGCTAGTCTTCCGCCTCATATCCCAGCACCCGCAGGGGACCGACTTCAGGGTCAACCCCGCGGACGGTGTCATCCGCACCAATTCCCAGCTCGACCGCGAGGTCAACCCACTTTGATCGCTCGCTCACTCGCTCACCCACGCAACCACTCGCTTGGTCACTCAGCCACTCACTAGCTTGGTCACTCAGCCACTCACTCACGCAATGATCAGTAGCTCACTCACTCGCTCGCACGCACAGTCACTCAGCCGCCTGTGAAACAATTCAAGCATCCAAACGCTCGGCTACTTAACGGCTCACTCAGCCACTCGACCACTCACTCGCTCATCCATTCACTCATTCACTCACACAGCCATTCACTAATTCACTCACTCAGCCACTCAAATGTTCACTTGCTCATCCACCCAGTCATTGGCTCTCTTGGCCACGTGAGCATGTGAGAGCGTGTACACGTGTGTGTATGTGTGTATGTGCGCACCTGGGTCTGCCCCGTGACCTCCTGCCAGCGGGCGTTCGACACTTCACGTGGCCTCAACGTGCACATGGCCTGGCACAAGCGTCGTGGTGACGTCACCGCCACTTAGTGGCGAATGGCGGTTGTTGTTGTTGTTGTTGCTGTCTGGTACCACAGTGGTTGGCGCACTGTGCAACGAACCAGGCTTACCGATTTGAATTCCCACTCACGGTCAACGTTCAGGTGTTGAATATCTGAACCGGTTGTGGGCCTCCCCTAGGACAACTCAGCTTTGAATGAGTACCTGATGAGTTGTGCAAAACATCGGCATTGGGGAAGACGAAAAGGCCAGGCATGGTGCCCCCCGCCCTCCCTCCACCCTTGTAGGTGTGCTACAGTCCCGGCCTTAATAGGTGCTCGCTAACTGCATTTGCCCCCGACAGCCTGCGTAGGCTACAAGGCCGTAATTATAATATACATTGGGGGGGACAGCCCCCCCAAATTTTCAAATGTGCTCAAAATGTCCCCCTCAATATATTGCTGTAGACAATATTTTTTGTTTTAATAGCTATGCTGTGTAAATAAAAATAATAATTTGCTAACCCTTGGCCACAATATCTGGACTTGTCTTCATGTAACAATGCATAGATTTCTGTTCATATGATTGTGGTTATGGTTGTACTTTATTAATTCCTAATCTCTGCCATTACATACAATGGAACAAGAAAAGGTGAAAAAGCAAAAAAACAGAGCAATGTAATACAATACACTATTCGACATTATTGTAAAAAAAGATAATGAAAAATCTATCCCATGTGTTAGTGAATTTTTTAATATTTTAGGCAGGAAATTAGTTTTCAAATTTAGATTTTTTTTTTCTGGGGGGGGGGACCCCTAGACCCCCTGGAAGATTTGGTCCCCCCCAATGTTCTTAGGTTTTTTTCGGTAAAGTCACGTAGGTAAAACATTTAAATTAATACAAGTAAAAGGAAAACTTTTATTTATTTATTTTACTTTTATTAATTTAAATGTTTTACCTACGTGACTTTACCGACAAAACCTAAGAATATGAATCCTTGCAGTCACGAAAGCTTCAAATCTAGAATTAATTCCCCCACCAATGTTGACTCCATGACTACGGCCTGCGTAGGCTACATGGGTGCTGAGGGATCTGTGCCTTTATCTTTGTGCACAGACGGTGGAGTACTACGCGCTGGTCATGGAGGTGGCCGACAACAACGGAGATGGAAGCGGATGGTCCAGCACGGCCACCGTCTCCATCACTGTGGCTGACATCAACGACAATGCCCCCAAGGTCGTGGCCAAAGAGGTGCGGCAGAAACTTCCCAACGCCCCTCCCATGTCCAGGCTCACGAGTAGGTCATTCGAGGCAGACTGGAGGTCGCGAGGCGGAGCGTACAAAGAAGAGCGTGGAAGCTAAAATATGATCGGTTGCCCCAGGGTGTGTGTGTGTGTGTGTGAGGTTTGTATGTAACGTAGGTATGTATGTTGAACTTCTTCTTGGTTCTTTCGCTAAAGTCACGTAGAATGGAAATAATAAAAAAATAAAAATAAGTATAACCCGTAAAAACAAAGTTTTTCACTATAAATCCTTTATATGCGTGGCGGCTAGAATCCTCTCGTCCTCTGGCTTGAGATGGCTGCCACCTATGGGTCAGATGATTGTCTGCCAGTATTAAGCAATTGGTAATTAAATATTTAATTTGTTTTCCCTAAACAGTGTAAAATTTTGGAAAAAATTTTCACGAACATTAATTGTCTCGCACAACGAGTCTGTGTGCAAAATGTCAGCTCGATTGGTTCACGGGAAGTGGGTTAAAAAACGACCGAAAGATTTGCACGGTCGTAAGCAAGCAAGCAAGCACGCAAGCACGCAAGCAAGCAAGCAAGCGAACTTAATATAAAGGATTTAATAAAACATGATGAAATATATTTTTTTATTATGTTTTATTTTTATTATTTTAGAATATATATTATTTTATTATGTTTTATTTGTATTATTTTATTACTTCCATTCTATGTGACTTTACCGAAAGAACCAAGAAGATGAATCCCTGCAGTCACGAAAGCTTTAAATCGAAATGTGTTGAACTTCTTTCGCACCGTACGTAGCCAACCGTGCCAATCGGAGGGGTGGATGAAATGTGAAATTTGAAATTCGGGCTCTGACCTCACAGGACAATAAGAATCGAGAGATGGGTGGTCGGTGTGATGAGCCTCCCAACTGTTGCTGGGTCACTGACACAGCTGGACTTTAGGCTGATGGTTTAGGATTTGATAACACTGGTCAACACACTTTTTCTGGTATAAGGTATTCCGACGGTTGTAAGGTAATTTTAAGGGGTGCTGGATTCCAAATCTGGCATCAGTTTTTGTCTATCACGTCAGGTTTTTGAGATATCAAATATTGCATTTTCAATAAAAACTGCGGAAGAAAAATATTAAATAAATGTGGATATCTATCTACATAAAATGATATTATAAACACACTATCCTAAAAATACAGCACCATATTTTAACACTAAAGCAGTCACTGACTCGCAACAACTTGCAATCATAAGTGACAGAGTTAATTTCGGGTAAAATCAATGAAAATGGGGTATGCCGATAGCATAAAAATGAGATGTGATAGAGCAAATCTGAGATCAGATTTGGAATCAGCACCCTGAAATTAGTCTAAAACAGCTGCAAAAGTCCAGGCCAGAAAAAATGTTTTTCTTTTGTTGACCAGTGTTATTATTATTCTTTATATTGGCCGTGAAATCCTATGTATAACATATTGCACTATTGTTGTTATCATCTATCAATATGCGTGTATGCGGTGGCTCAGTGATAGAGCGACCAGCTCACAATCCTTATTCCTGCGGGGGTCGATAAAACGAGTACCAGTTTGTGGGGATATCAACAATGGGTGTCCCGTGGATAGACTCGGCCCCATCATATGTATCTATGTATGTTGAACTTCTTTTGCACAATATGTAGCCAACCATGCTAATTAGAGGCCAACAAACAAAACACAAAAAGCAGTTCTAAAGAAATGAGCTTTCAATCTAGATTATTTAACAGTGCATAGCTCCAGTGGCTCCAGCGCATATCGGAAGCAAGAGCGTTCCAGACAGCCCGGGAAGCGCATCCAAAAGCGCCGCGATGCGGTGACCACCGTCTTTGTTCGACGGCGAACCAAAAGCCACCACCACTCAGAGGTCGCAACCGGGTACCCGATACCCGTACCCTACCCGATACCCGGCTACCCGTACCCGGCCGGGTACGGGTACCCGTTTGCGACCCTGGTGCGGCCGGGTACGGGTAGACCGTGAGGTCACTGGTGAGTAACCGTTTGTCACTCATTTCCCAACGTCTTGTCTCTTCTCACAATTCAAGTTCCTAGAATCAACCCACCCGCGCCTGCAACATGGCTTCATCCCAGAGGTCGCAATCGGGTACCCGATACCCGTACCCTACCCGACCCTGGTGCGGCTGGGTACGGGTACGGGTAGGCCGTAGGTCACTGGTGAGTGACTGTTTGTCACTCATTTCCCAACGTCTTGTCTCTTCTCACAATTCAAGTTCCTAGAATCAACATGGCTTCATTCCAGAGGTCGCAATCGGGTACCCGTACCCTACCCGATACCCGTCCGGGTACGGGTAGCCAGGTATCGGGTACGGGTACGAGTACCCGTTTTCGACCCTGGTGCGGCCGGGTACGGGTACGGGTAAGGAATCAAAACCCGTTTGCGACCTCTGCCACCGCTGCAAGGAGTTTGCGTGAACGATGGTTTACGCTCCTCGACGAGAATGCAGGGCGGCTGGCAGCAAGAGACAGCGCATCAATTACCCCGACGCCCATTGTTATTGAATCAGCACAACAGCCCCAACTCCTAACCGTGACCCTGTCCATCTCCTCCTCCCCAGCTGTCCGGGGAGGTGGATGAGAACACGAAGGAGGTGGTGGTGGGGCGCGTGCGCGTGTCGGACGCCGACAAGGTGAACACGAGCGCGTGGCGAGGGCGCTACACCATCGTGCGGGGCAATGAAGGAGGCCAGTTCCGCGTGGACACCGACCCCGTCACCAACGAGGGCGTCATCACGCTCATCAAGGTGCCCAGCCACACCCACACACAGCCCCCACCCCACACCTTCCCATATATACAGATAGTCCCCGAGTTACGATGGGGTCCGAACTTACAATGGCGATAGCGATTCAACAAAATTGCCATCAACAACCTAACATCGTATTCTTGGTTCTTTCGGTAAAGTCACGTAGAAGGGAAACAATAAAATAATATACAGTAAATATAAAAAATTCTAATAAAATAATATAAATATAAAACAATAAAATTGTTTCAATAATAAAACACTATGAATATAAAAATATATATTTTTTATATTTATATTATTTTATTATTATTTCCCTTCTACGTGACCCGGCTACCCGATACCCGGCCGGGTACGGGTACGGGTACGGGTACCCGTTTGCGACCCTCGTGCGGCCAGGTACGGGTAGACCGTGAGTCACTGGTGAGTCACCGTTTGTCACTCATTTCCCAACGTCTTGTCTCTTCTCACAATTCAAGTTCCTAGAATCAACCCACCCGCGCCTGCAACATGGCTTCATCCCAGAGGTCGCAATCAGGTACCCGATACCCAATACCCAGCCGGGTACGGGTAGGGTACGGGTACGGCCGGGTACGGGTGCAGGTACCCGTTTTCGACCCTGGTGCGGCCGGGTACGGGTACGGGTAAGGAATCAAAACCCGTTTGCGACCTCTGACCCCACCCCACCTCACTGCCGCCTCCCCCCCCCCCCCACCAGCCACTGGACTTTGAGAAGGTGAGCTCGCTCAAGCTGGCCGTGCTCGCCGAGAACGAGGTCCCGTTCGTGGGGCCCCCCCCAGACTCGGCCACGATCGCCTCCTCCATGGCCAAGTTCACGCTGCGTGTGCGCGACGTGGACGAACGACCCGTGCTCACGGCGCGTCACTTGGACGCGAAGATGCTGGAGGGCGTCAGCTCGGGGGGCGCGATTGCCACGATGCACGCCGTGGCCTTCGCGCGACCTGATGGTCCGGCGCAGAGCGACATCAGGTGGGGGCAGGTGTTTGTCTCACGGTGGTGTGTACGCGTGCGTGTGCGTGCATGTGGTGTGCGTGTGTGTAGCGGTTAGCGCGCTGCCCTATGAGTTCGATTCCTGCTCACGGCCAACACCAGTAACGATTATATTTCGATTTAAAGCTTTCGTGACTGCAGGGATTCATCTTCTTGGTTCTATTTGATTATGATAATTGTTTTTTTACCCTTCTATCTGGCAACAAAACTGACACCTTTTTTACAAGGAGTCATGTTTGCATAGACCACAATACCTGCAGTCATAATGCAAACAAAAAACATAACTCTGATAATGTATGCACACCCGAGACAGCATTCCTTAGAGCCTAGTCTCACATGGGTTGGACCAGATGACGCCAAAAGGTGTCAGTTTTGTTGCCAGATAGAAGGGTAAAAAAAAAATATCATATTTTTTACTGGCAAATGAGGTTCCCATGGTGTAAATCTATTTGATTATGTTTTATTTTTATTATTTTATTATTTCCCTTCTACATGGCTTTACCGAAAGAACCAAGAAGAGTAACGATTATCTGAACCGGTCCTGAGCCTCCCCTAGGTCGACTCAGCCTCAAATTAGTACCTGGTGCGGTGTGTAAACATCGCCACTCGGGAGACAAAGGCGGCCGGGCGTGGTGCTGGCCACCCACCTCCTCGTGTGCCGTGCTGGCCTTCATAGGTGCTTGCGAACAGCAATTGCCCCAACAGCCTGTTTGGGCTATACTGGGGATCTTGTCTTTGGTGGCTTTGGTGGTGGCTCCCTACCACCAGTATCCACTTGGCCGAATTGATCTTAATAGCTGCTCAGTCATTACTCTTCTTCCTGGCAGGTATGGCGTGCTGTCTGACCCGGCAGGATGGCTCATTATCGACCCAAAGACCGGCGCCATCACCACAAAGCGTCCACCCGATCGCGAATCGCCCTTCGTGGTCAACAACACCTACATGGCCACCTTCATAGCAGTCGACCCAGGTGTTGCCACGTGGGCGCCGCAGTGGCGAGATGTTAACTGCCTTGTCTGATGTACAGGAGGTCGTGGGTTCCATCACGACCCTGACGCCTGCTGTTTATTTGGAGTTTGCGTGTCTCTTTTCCCGTGGGCACGTGGATTTTTCTCGGGTCCTCCGGTTTTCCCCTCCATATTTAGAATCAATATTGGCTAATAGAAATGTTCACGTGATAAACCACTTTTTGTGAGCTATCATTTGTGGCCGGGTCATTTCTGGTAACGAGTTATACAGCTCGTTGGGCCGTTCCTGATAAAAAAAATAAAAACACTTAAAAAATATGTTTTAGTTTATCCGCCCTATCCCATAGACATCTACCCTAGAGCCAGGTCCGCATCTGAGCCATCAGTTGCACAACCAAATCGCTTTCGACATCACGCAACATTATCGCCTGCAACTGCTTCGTCCGTGTCTGAGCGGGGCTGCAACAAGGAGATTGAACAGCTTGCACAGGATTTTAACGACCAATGTTGGTTGCCTAAATGTTGTTTCGTGATTAAATACATCACTGAGCAGATCGCATGGAGGGTGAGTCCGTCTCTCATCGAAGCAACCGGTTGCACAACTGCTCACAACCGGTTGAGAAGCATGCAACCAAGTTGTGCAACTGATTGCTCAGGGTGTGGACACAGCTTAAATGGGACACATGGTAGGCTGTCAGCCTCTTCTTCTGTCAGTTTAGCCCCTCTATCAATAACAACACCCGCTCAAATTTTTTTTTTTACAAACTATTAACATAATTACTATTAACGTAATAATAATTGGTGATCAAACGTGGTCTAGTTAAACTAACTTGAAATGCTACCCTGCTACAGGCAAAGTGTATTCATGAGTAATTGGCCCAGATAAATGAGTCGTGAATAATATCATTGGTCAATAATATTAATTAGTTGTGAATAAAATATATCGTCACGCCGATCGCGAATCACAATATTGCCAATTGTGAATCACAATATTGCCTGCGAAATCCTGCCTGCTAAGAGACTGTGATGACGATGGTGATGACAATGATAACACTGGTCAACACACTTTTTCTGGCATGAGGTATTCCAACGGTTTAAAGGTAATTTTAAGGGGTGCTGATTCCAAATCTGGCATCAGTTTTTGTCTATCACATCAGGTTTTTGAGATATCAAATATTGCATTTTCATAAAAACTGCAGAAGAAAAATATTAAATGAATGTGGATATCTACATAAAAAGATATTATAAACACACTATCCTAAAAATACAGCACCACATTTTAACACTAAAGCAGTCACTGACTCGCAACAACTTGCAATCATAAGTGACAGAGTTACTTTCGGGTAAAATCAATGAAAGTGGGGTATGCCGATAGCATAAAAATCGATGTGACAGAGCAAATCTGAGATCAGATTTGGAATCAGCACCCTGAAATTAGTCTAGAACAGCTGCAAAAGTCCAGGCCAGAAAAAAATGTTTTTTTTTTGGACCAGTGAATCAATGAGAGGACAGCGTCACACCGAAACCGTCCGCCGTTTCTCTCCCACGTCCCCCCCTCCCCTGTCTGTGCAGATTCCCCTGGAGGCACGAGCACAAGCACCCTGACCATTCAACTAGACGACGCAAATGACAACCCCCCTGCATTGGTACAGCCTGCCGTGGCCCTGTGTGACACGGGGCCCAACTATGTCAAGGTGAGACCACTTTGCCACTCTGTTAGGGGTGTTTGGTTTTGGTTTTAAGAGGAAATAATAATTTCGATTTAAAGCTTTCGTGACTGCAGGGATTCATCTTCTTGGTTCTTTCGGCAAAGTCACGTAGAAGGGAAGTAATAGAATAATAAAAATAAAACATAATAAAATAAATTTCGATTTAAAGCTTTCGTGACTGCAGGGATTCATCTTCTTGGTTCTTTCGGTAAAGTCACGTAGAAGGAAAATAATAAAATAATAAAAATAAAACATAATAAAATAATTCTCACGACGTTTCGGCCACAACGCAAGCAGCCGTCCTCAGGTGAAGAACAGGTCTGTCGAGAAGGTCTGTCGAGAAGACAAGAGTCATTCAGGCGGAAACGTACCACGTGACCCGGGTATTAAATAGGGGTGGAGACGAACGACATATGGTCAGAACGGGAACGAACGGAGGAAGGAGGCCACGCGGAAGTGGGGCTCCGAGTTGCCACGTGGCAGTGCGCCTCTCTCTCTCTATCTGTCCCTCTCACGCTGCCTATCAGCAGCGTGAAGGAAACTGTAATATAAGTTGAATAAAAGACGGATTCTTAAGCCTCACCTTATGCAGTCTACTCTTGGTCTTAAGCCTCACCTTACCATATTAATAAAAAAAGTGTGCCGTTCCTGGCCCTTCCCCGCTCAACCATTATATATACGGGGTAGTATTTCTTGTGATCTCTCATTTACTTGATACAGCTGTCGTGGCTGTGACGGTCCCACCTGAAGACGGAGGCTTGTGTTGCTTCCGAAACGTCGTGAATTTTTTTATTTGTTTCATTTTACTTTTATTAATTTAAAATTTTTACCTACGTGACTTTACCGAAAAAACCTAAGACTAGGATTCCAGAAGTCGCCTCAACAAGCTTTATTACATAAGTGTGCGCGTGTGTGCGTGCGTCTCTGCGTGTCCACAACCCCCATGTGTGTGCTCGCAGGTCACGGCCAACGACTCGGACTCAGACGCCAACGGAGCTCCGTTCACGTTCGAGATCCCAACGGAGGCTCAGGAGACCTGGGCCATCACCGAGACTGATGGTGGGCAGCCCGACTGACCCATAGTCCCAACAAAATTCGGCCGGATTCCGATCCGAGCACGATCTCTCCCGCTCACACTAATCATGCCACTAAGCCCTACCTCTAACACAAGCTGGACTATAACACGAGCCCTACCATTGAAACTCACCATGTCACGAACACTAGCTCTACTGTTAACACTAACCATGTCACGAACACTAGCTCTACTGCTAACACTAACCATGCCACTAACCCTAGCCCTATCTCTAACACAAGTTGTACCATAACACGAGCCCTACCATTGAAACTAACCATGTCACTAACACTAGCTCTACTGCTAACACTAACCATGTCACTAACCCGAGCCCTATCTCTAACACAAGCTGTAACATTCTTAATTTTGGAGCTTTCGTGACTGCAGGAATTATTCTTTGGTTCTTTCGGTAAAGTCACGTTTAAAGATAACATAATAAATTAAATAGTAGCATACTACGACGTTTCGATTGCAACACGAGCAATCATCATCAGGTATAAAAGAAATAGCAACAAAAATCTAACCAGAAAACTATAGACAGACATATAAGCAGACAGACATCATAAAGATGCACAGAGAGAGAACACGTTTCGGCACAAAGAGAGAGGTCGTCTCTGTGACGGGGCCTTAAATATAGAGAGGGGGCGGGGGCGGAGAGAGGGAGGGGGCAGAGAAAAAAGCTGTAACATAACACTAGCCCTACCATGAATACCAAACGTAATAGCCATACTCCTGATACTTGCCTTTCCATAGTCACTCGCCCTACAACTAATACTAACCATAACATTAGCACTCGGCCGACTACAAATATTGCCCTACAATTAACCCACTACAACTAGCCGAACCACGACACTAAGACGTACCACCAAATCTGTCACTATTTGGTACCATTACTACGCCACTGACACAAACCGGGACTTTTTACTGTCTCTGATGGGATTATCAATCCCAGGGGAGTTACCTTTTGTTCTGGATTACAAGGCACACTTACCCTCCCTCCCCACCTCCCCACTTAGTTTAAAGTAAAAAGTCGGGGGTGGGTCTTACAATCTGGTGCGCGCGCGCGCGTGTGTGTGACAATATTTGTGTATCTTTATTGGCACCTTGTACAAGTTTGGGGTGCATTTTGCTTTGCGAAGCATCTTATGTGTGCATTTATGTTGAAACTTCTTTCGCACCGTACGTAGCCAACTGAGGATTTGGTACTTGCTACCTGCTATGGGTGTATGGTTTGTAAATATGGTCACGAACAAAGAGCGTAGAACAAAAACTGAAAAGTACACAAAGCAGTGTGGAGAAATGAATGCTTTGAATTACACTGAGAAACAGAAAGAGGAACCACGTGGATTAGAGAGCACAGGCTATGTACCAACATCATCCAAACTATTAAATATAATTTTTTTTTATATGTTGTGGCTTGGCTCTCCAACACACCGGCGTGCTGTACTAGTGACGAATTGGCATGTTCTGTTTACGAAACAATCCTTACTCGTTGGTTGTGTCGGGTGTTGGTGGGTTTAACGACACATTTATATATTTACGCGATCTAACGCAAAAAAACCTCATGGACGATATTGGTCGCGTACACTTACGCGACCAAATTTTTTTTTCTCTCCACCTGAAGAAGGCCGCTTGTGTTGCGATCGAAACGTCGTGGGTTTTTTGCTTTTCATTTTTGTTTTCTATCCACGTGACTTTACCGAAAGTACCATGAATATGTAGGCCAACGTGTTCAACCAAAAAAAAAGTTAAGTGGGGACTTGGGCAGGACATGTCATGGCTAATACGAATGATGGACGGTGGTCAAGAATAATGAGAGATTGACAGCCGAGGAATGGGAACGGCATTTTAAAACGCGTCCACCAGGGAGATGGAGTGACAAAATCCGTTCATGTGCGGGTGCTTAATGGATTATTGCATCGCTGGATTTTCAGAGGTGGTGGTGACTTTGTTATGCCTTCGTGCGGAATGATCACGGCTGCTGCTGCTGATGATGGTGATGGAATGTGTGTATGTATGTTGAATCTCTTTCGCACCGTACGCTCATAGGCGGTGCGGGGTACCTTAGATGGAGGGCGACTCTGGGATAAGTAAAACCGGGGTGGGCATTTACTCAGAGTCAGAATATTTATACTGGAGGAATCCGATGAGCTATTAAGCTCTTTTGCACACATTTTCCATACTGGTACGCGCACGCATGCGCATGCACACACACGTTGTTTAAGCTTTATTTTGGTGATTTCGAAAAGTGTATTGGTTTAATTTTCGATTTAAAGCTTTCGTGACTGCAGGGATTCATCTTCTTGGTTCTTTCGGTAAAGTCACGTAGAATGGAAATAATAAAATAATAAAAATAAAACATAATAAAATAATTCTCACGTTTCGGCCACAACGTAAGCAGCCGTCCTCAGGTGGAGAACAGGTCTGTCGAGAAGACAGACCTGTTGTGGCCGAAACGTGAGAATGATTTTATAATGTTTTATTTTTATTATTTTATTATTTCCATTCTACGTGACTTTACCGAAAGAACCAAGAAGATGTACTGGTTTAGCCATGTTTGTTTGTTGTAGTACAGAGTTAGACTGATGGCCTTAATCTAAGTTGTCTTGTGGTTGTTGTTGTTGTTTGACTTGCATCCCACTGGGATTTTTGCACACAGCGTTGATGTACGGTGCTTTTTTTCTGCAATATTTTGCTGTCTTTACTTGGATTTTCTGTTTGCACTCAATCACATATTCACTTTAAGATGTTTCTTGTTCATGTTTTTGTTTGTTTGTTTGTTGCGGTTGCACCCGATTCAAGAGCCAAATGGCTCACAGGGCTATACCTAATAAATAAACTTGAACTTGTTGTACCCGTGCGTGCGTGCGTGCGTCCAGGCGTGTCGGCGATTGTGAAGTACCGTGGAGGCCCCAGAATACCACGTGGCCTCCACTCGGTGCCCGTGCACGTGTCGGACCGGGCCGGCCTCGGGGCCACGCGGACCCTCAACGTCTCCGTGTGCCCATGCGGCACCAGCGGTCATCCCGAACCGGACTGCGTCGTTGCGGCCGGGGAGGCTGGGAAAGCCTTGGGCAGCCACCTCTCAGACGGCGCCATCGCTGGGATCCTGGCCGGGCTTCTGGGGCTGCTCTTGGCTGGTGCTGGTTTTTGCACAATGGCACACTCAAACACAATCACACATCTTGTTGGTTCTTTCGGTAAAGTCACGTAGAATGGAAATAATAAAATAATAATAATACATATTTTATTACTTTATTATTTCCCTTCTACGTGACTTTACCGAAAGAACCAAGAAGATGAATCTCTGCAGTCACGGAAGCTTTAAATCGGAACACAATCACACACACAAAACTAACACACACTCGCACAGACTCACACACACAATCACAAAGAAAAAGATCCCCCGTATAGCCTTAACAGACTATTGGGGCATACACAATCACACAACAACAACAACCGCTATTCGCCACTAAGTGGCGGTGACGTCACCATGACGCTTGTGCCAGGCCAAGTGCACCTTGAGGCCACGTGAAGTGTCGAACGCGCGCTGGCAGGAGGTCACGGGGCAGACCCAGCAGGTGCCACGACTTAAACAATCACACACACACTCACTCACACACATATCGTACACGAGAGTCATTGGTTGATAATCATGCATGAATCTGGCAATATAAAATAACTACGATCAAATTTTAATCCACAAGGAAACCTAGAACGAGAGACCTTTCTAAACTCCGATTTAAAGCTTTCGTGACTGCAGGGATTAATATTCTTGGTTCTTTCTCGTGTGTCGTGCTGGTCTGAATGCTGCTCACTACAGTACTTGCTCAAAGAGTCTCTTGAGATAATTGGTTTTCTACCCTTTTATCTGGCAACAAAACGGACACATTTTTTTACAAGGAGTCATGTTTGCATTGACCACAATACCTGCGTTCGGAATGCAAAACAAAAAAACACAACCCTGATAATGTATGCACTGTCTTTGAAATTGATCGGTCCACACCCGAGACAGCTTTTCTTAGAGCCTAGTCTCACATGGTGTTGGACCAGATGACGCCAAAAAGCACACAACTCAAAGACAATGCACCATCAGAGTATGAGAGCTCGGGTTAAGCATTTACACCATTGGAACCTCCTCTGCCAGTAGCAAAATATGATAATTGTTTTTTTACCCTTTTATCTGGCAACACAACGGACACATTTTTTTACGAGGAGTCATGTTTGCATTGACCACAATACCTGCGGTCGGAATGCAAACAAAAAACACAACTCTGATAATGTATGCACTGTGTTTGAAATTGATCGGTCCACACCCGAGACCAGATGACGCCAAAAGGAGGTTCCAATGGTGAGTCTCTTGAACTTATATGGGGGGGGTGGACGGGGGGCCTTTTTTGTCTGTTTTGTGCACCACAGCAATCCTGTTGCTCTGCTGTTGCTGTAAGCGTGGGAAGAGCGCCAAGTCGGTCCTCTACTCGCTGGTGGACGCCCCCCACAGCTCGCTGTCCACCTGGACCAAGGGCGAAGAGGTGGACAAGGTGAGCACCCGCCCACCTCTATAGCCACAGCTCACTTCCACCCCCCGCTCGATGAACGACCGCCCAGGTTGCTGAGGTCACAATACAGGAGAGAGAGAGAGAGGGAGCTCTGCATGTCCACGTGTTGTGTCAACACGGGGTTAGTATACGGCACGTGGTAAAAATGTTTTTTAAACTCAAATATTTTTTGTTATTTTACCAGGTAAGGCCCACTGAGCTATGAAGTTATTTTTCAGAAGTGACCTGGCCACAAATGATAGCCCAACGAAGTGTCTTATCATCACGTGGAAATGTATAGCAGCACAAATACTCTAAATGCATGTCGATTATAAACGTGCAGGGATAAACCGGAGGACCCGGAGAAAAATCCACGCGACCACGAGGAGAGAGACACGCAAACTCCAAATATACAGCAGCAGGCATCAGGGTCGGGATCGAACCCACGACCTCCTGCATACCAAGCGAGGTAGTTAACATCTCCTAGCCACCGTGATGATGATGAGAGAGAGAGACACGCAAACTCCAAATATACAGCAGCAGGCATCAGGGTCGGGATCGAACCCACGTCCTCCTACTCTTAGTTTTTTCGGTAAAGTCACGTAGGTAAACAATGAAATCAAAATTAATAAAAATAAAATAATAATAAAAATCACCACGTTTCGGAGGCAACACAAGTCCCCGTCATCAGGTGGGACCGTCACAGCCAGATTTGCTGTATCAAGTGAGGCAGGGATTTCAAGAAGCAAGTTCTTAAATACAAGTTAAGGGGGAGGAGAGGAGAGTGGGAGAGCTTATCAGAATGTGGTAGCCAATGAATGGAACGTATACCAGGCGAGGTAACATCTTGCCACCAACAACGCGGCTGCACCAGCAAAATTAATTACAAATCATTATCGTTGTTGCTGTTCCTCCTCCTCCCCCCACAGGTTCCGATCGCAGGGGCAGTGGCGGCGACGTCGCTAAATGCGCCCAACGGGACCCAGGTTGCAATGGCTGCAGGGTCCAGAGCCGCCGTCCAAGAGTCGCGCTTCGTTTCCGAAACCAAAACGTTCACGGCGGCAAATGAAGCTCGCGCGGCACACGGGTCATCTGCGGCAGCGGCGGCCATGGCAAATGGAGGCGCAGCCATGAGAACGGAGGTACGCTTCGTGGGTATATGTGTGCGCAGGGGGGATGATGTGGAGCCGAGCAGATTTTGCCGATGACCGGTACCTAACAGCGGTGCCAAAATCGGCCTCCATGGGGGAGGCTCGTAAAGGACACACTATTGGGCCGCCAGGGGCGTCCGCCTCCAACAATAACAGCCGGTGGGGGGGGGGGGGGAGGAGCGATGTTCACAACAACGAGCAGAGCGACGGGCGGATAAAACGCAGCGAGTTTGCACAGTTGCGGAGCACAGTTGGTGCATCTGCTAGTCAATTGAGTCAGTTATCCCATCATAATACTTTAGATTGTTTGCCTGCTATAAATTTCCACATGATAAGCTATCATTTGTGGCCAAGGGCGCTTCTGAAATAGAGCTACTCTATAGAGCTCAGCGAGCATTACCTGGTAAAGTAAAGATTTCGTTTTATTTGTATGTATTTTTTGTGTGATTTGATTACTTTTCTTATACTTTACACTCCTATCGTGTTTTTGTATCGTTTGTCGTTGTAACGCTCTGACCCGATCCCTACTGGACATCTGTGAAAAAAGAGTTTTACAGCTCATCGGATTACTCCTTCAGTCTAAACAAATATTATGATTTCGATTTAAAGCTTTCGTGACTGCAGGGATTCATCTTCTCGGTTCTTTCGGTAAAGTCACGTAGAAGGGAAATAATAAAATAATAAAAATTAAACATAATAAAATAATTCTCACGACGTTTCGGCCACAACGCAAGCAGCCGTCCTCAGGTGGAGAACAGGTCTGTCGAGAAGACAGAGTCTGAATGACTGTTCTCCACCTGAGGACGGCTGCTTGCGTTGTGGCCGAAACGTCGTGATAATTGTTTTATGTTTTATTTTTATTATTTCCATTCTACGTGACTTTACCGAAAGAACCAAGAAAATATTTTTATTCTGATTCTCGAACCGGTATCCGATTGCGAAAATGGTTGCCAGGTGAACCGGCTGTTGTTGAGCGAGCCTAATGCCACCAAAACAACCCCTGGGCTTCCCTTAGCAGGGCACCGCCATCGGGCTGGGAAGCGCCGCTCACCTCACCGCCGCCGCCGCCGCTACGAACGACGGAGCTCAGAGATTGGGGGGCTGGGCCGGCGCGCTCGGCGGGACAGGGGCCGCTGTGGGAGGCATGACGGCTCTACTGGGGGGCGACGGTGCAGCCCTGGTGAGTGACACTCACGGACCACCCAACCTACCCCCCCCCCCCCCCTTTTCCCCAAATAGTCCGTGAGCCAAGGGGGTTGATCGGCACCGTCTAGGGTGGCAAATGCTACCAACGTCCTCCATCATGGACTAATTGTGCTGTAAAATTTTGATTTAAAGCTTTCGTGACTGCAGTGATTCATCTTCTTGGTTCTTTCGGTAAAGTCACGTAGAATGGAAATAATAAAATAAGAAAAGTAAAACATAATAAAATAATTAATAATAAAATAATAAAGCATAATTAAATATTTTTTTATTATGTTTTATTTATTATTATTATTTAATTATTTCCATTATTTTGTTTTATTTGTATTATTTTCTTATTCCCTTCTACGTGACTTTACCGAAAGAACCAAGAAGAAGCTATGTATTTTGATGTTTCGTAGATGTTTCACGTGACATTTAGTGATGTATTCAATCTCCGCAACAATAATCACGATCGCACATACTCCAGTGCCCTTGTGTGACGACATTTCTGTAATACAAGGCTACGACGCTGACCTTGCTGTCATACATGTGTAATAAAGGGACTCAGACGCTTCTCTCTGACTTCGTGTCCTTTATTGGGTTCTTGTCTTTTCCCACACGGCACTCTCTTGTAGATACTCTATTTGTAGCCCCCGGCTGCTATCGCTATTGTAGCCTCCTTCCTCTCCCTGCAGACTCTCTGCTATCTCTATTGTAACCTCCTTCCTCTCCCTGCAGACTCGCTGCTGACTCCCTATGCAGATCCCCGCTGCTAACTCTATATGCAGACCCTCTTGGCTGCTACTCCGTATGCAGACCCGCTGCTGACTCCGTATGCAGCCCCGCTGCTGACTGCAGCCTCCTCGCTGCTTCGGGTCGGTCACCGCTGGCCGACGGTGCCGATCCTCGCTCCCCGTGTCCGTGGCGATCTCGCCACCCTCCGCTTTCGCCCTTCGTGGCCTCTCTCGTTCCTGGTCTCCCGTCACTCCCCTTCCTCTTCCGGTTCCCCTCCTTCTATAGCTTAACCCCTCTCCCCCACGTGACCTAACTCCTCCCCTCATGACGTCACTTCCGGAGGGCCGTTTACGCCCGCATTACACATGTATAGTTTAGAGGTGAAATTCTTCAAGAAAATCGCTAATAAACTTGGCCAACCCGAGGGGTCCTGATAACGCATGTCTTGAGTTTGATGGCTCAAAAGGACATCTCTGCACTCCCACATTTCCATGACGAATGGGAAGGGAGATAACTGGCCTCGGTTTACAAATTTATCTTAACGAACTGGTTCCATTTCTTGGTGAAATAACGATTGTGTTGGACTGCATTTAATAAATAAAAACGTTGATAATAGGAATTTTAAGGTAGAGCCAGGTCAAAGTGATTAAATATATTTCAAGTGAGTTGTTTACCTTTCCGCTACCTTGCACTGAAATAATGTTTTTGTATTGTTTGTTGCTGTAACGTTCTGACCCGCTCTCATTGGACATCTGCGAGAAAGAGCTTTGTAGCTCATCGGATTCCTCCAGTATAAATACTCTGATTTCCAGCTCAAATGAGCGGTGCTGATCGCCCGCTTGCAGCTCTGTCCCTAGCGGTGGACATTCCTCATTTCTATGGCGGGGGACGGGGTGGTCGAGTCTATCCATTGGAGAAGCACTGTTGACTCCCCCACCTCAATCAATCGCTCGGTCTTTATTTTAATAAAAGTGGCCATCAGTGCGCATCGAAACAGCCGAATGGGAAATTGTGCCGGGAGGGGGGGGGGATGGGGGGGGTAGAGAGCAGCAGCAGGGAGTGAGGATAGGAATCCCGGACGCGACCTCAAGCGGCTTAACGCCGACCGAGCAACAGCCAAATTGCAGCCGCGCGCAAAATCACGTGCAGCCGTGCACAGCGAATCGCGTAAGAAATGTACGTCGTGAATACAAAAATTTATTAAAAGTACCACCCTAAGTGGTACTAGTTTTATCGACCCGGAGGGGGACGATGGGCTGAGACGAGTTGCGGTTTATAGGGTCGCGGAAAATAAAAGGACCTCCACCGCATGGCGCTACGTGTGCAGGAATCGTGGCCGATAACCACACTGGGCTCCTCGGGGTTCCGCGCAGGAGTCGCGACTTTGAGCCAAGAGAACAGAGGGTGGGTGGACAACGAGGTGAGAAATCGTGGAGGAGGAGGTGGAGGTGGTGATGATCACTGCCATCATCATCATCGTCATAATCGAAACCATCCTTACCAATACCGTCATGGTCATCTATGACCACAACAACACCGCTGTCATCACCTCTGACACTACCGTCATCATCATTATCATCAACACTGCCAACACAAGAGCACTGGCCGTGATGATGATTTTTTTTCACTGTTGTTGTTGTTGTTGCCGCTGTCGATGTTGTTGTTTATTTTAGTCGGTTATTGTTGCTTGTTGATTTTTAATTCATATTCTTGTCGTTGTTTGTCGATGTTGCGTATTTGTTGTTATTGGTTGGTATTGTTGTTTGTGTTGCTGCTGCTGCTGCTGCCCATTGACGTTGTTGCTACCGTGCTTACATCGCGAGCAGCACTCCGAGTTTGCGTCTATGGGCCTCGCCTCGGAGGGGATCCTCGCCTCCGCTGTAGATCGTCGCGATGGCGCGTTCGCCGGTGCCTCGAGGGACAGCCAGATCTACAGCTTCATGGCCGAGGTGTGAACGCCCCAACCATGAACATGTGTTTCTTCATCATAATCTACATCAACGTCGTCATCATTTGTGTATGTTGACATAGCTTAGAATTGACATTAATTACACACGCACAGCGACACTGCTTGGTAACTCCACGTAACTGTACCACACATGGCAACCGCCATTATGTCATTTCGCGCACACCCCCCATAGTGACGTCACGTATACGTCAGGCATATTTATTTCGCACAGTACGTAGCCAACCGTGCTAATCGGAGGTGCGGGGGAAGGACAACAAACTCAAAAACAAACTAAAATACACTCACGCTGCGATTGAGATGTCCGTCGTATGTAATTCTTAACCGATTTTTGTGTTCCTTTTCGGGTGAGAGAATGACCCACAGAAGTGGATACCACAGAGCTGCCTTTGAGCTCCTTTCAAGTGACCTCTTATCCCCACTAGCGGTTGCTGGACTTTTCCACACAGCCTGCTATTGAGAAATGTTAATTGCATGGCAATCAAAATAACGGCTTGATTTTAAGAACCTGGAATTTAACGAAATTAAGTGAAAAAAACCCAACTCTTCTTCCTCCCTCTCCTCCTTTCTTTGCCCCCCCCCCACCTCCCAACTGAACGCCCAAAACTCCTCCCCATATATTCCGGCATCCACCACAACCAACGACACACACACACACGCACACGCGCACGCACGCACGCAGAGCCTGCGGATTATGGACTCGGACTCCAGTAACGCCGCCGCGGACTCGCTGCTCATCTACAGCAAGGAGGGCCAGGGAGGGTCGCTGCTGTCCCTCTCCTGCAGCGAAATTCTGCCCCGACAAGAGCCTCTGTGACCCCCCGAGCCGCCCCGTTTTTTTCACGCGAGCGGTTCAAGATGGTCGCAGTTAAATGTCACGTCTGCGTCTTGTTCGGGTATGGCCGTCCGCAACTTTCTATTTTTTTTATATATATTAAAAAAAAGCTTTTATTCTCATTCAAGAAAGGCAGAATACAAAGTAGATTTTAATAAAAGGGGGGAAGGGAAAAAAAACCCACCAGGCAACGCGAAACAAACACAGGCAATACATTCCCGATCGATTGGGATGTGTCCGGGCTCGCTGCCCCACCGCGATTAGCACGGTTGGCTACATTCCGTTCAAGAAGTTCAACATACATACGTCCGTAGGGGTAACGGTCGGGAGCAGTGTATTTAAGGAGGAAGGGGGTGACGATGGAAGAAGGGAGAAGGAAATAATTTAACTCCGTTTGCCACTTTTTAAAAACGTTAATGTTGTGTATTTTTTTAGATCCCTGTTCACACCACTCCTCGGTTTATATTGGTTGCGTCGACGGCAATCGTTGCATGGATGAAGAATCCACTCCGAAAGAGGGCATCTAAAAAAAAATAGGGCCTAAAGGCCAAAACATCAAGCGGCCATCAACAAACAGCACCTTCAAGGTTCATCTTTTTGGTTCTTTCGGTAAAGTCACGTAGAAGGAAAACAATACGTGACTTTATCGAAAGAACCAAGAAGATGAATCCCTGCAGTCACGAAAGCTTTAAATCGAAATTTTATTATGTTTTCTTTTTATTATTTTATTATTTCCCTTCTACGTGACTTTATCGATAGAACCAAGAAGCTGAATCCCTGCTGCAGTCACGAAAGCTTTAAATCGAAACCTTCAAGGTCTTGCATTGAGCCAAGGTTATTTCAAGAGGTTGGAGAAAATCTAGATTGAAAGTCAAGATTAAACCTAGATTGAAAACTCATTTCTCTAGAACTGCTTTTTGTGTTTAGTCTGTTGTCATTCCACCACGCACCTCCGATTAGCACAGTTGACTACGTACGGTGCGAAAGAAGTTCAACATAGCTAAAGGACTAAACTTTGCAGTCACACCTAGACACATACCAGTTAATGATATCATTGCCCAAGTAGATGTGGCTCTCAAGGGCCTGGGTCACTTCGCTGCAGACGGAGCAAGATCTGAAATCGCTGCAACCCTCAAAAACGCTAAGATGCCAGCTAGCAACATCAGCAAAGATGAGCGTTTTGAATGAGCTCAATTAAAACAGAGGGATGACAAGTTCAACATACCTAGATACATACTCTTTGGTTCTTTCGGTAAAGTCACGTAGGTAGACATAAAATAAAACAAATCACGATGTTTCGATCGTAACACAAGCAATCCTCATCAGGTGGAACAACCACAGCAAGAAAAATGCTGAAGTAGGCAAGATAGCTGCCACGGCAATAGATTATATAGGTAAGAAAGGGGGAGACAAGGGGGGGGAGGGGGGGAGGGGGGGGCTGCGTGAGAGATAGGGGGAGAAAAAGTGAGGCTGGGGGGGGGGGGAGGGAAGTGGGCGGGGCTAGAAGTGGGAAGCTGAGTGTGGGACACGGGGGGAAAGTAACTCTGAAAAATGTACTCGTAAGCGGCAGGTAGGATGGAAACAACCACAACCAGTTAAGGCTTTACCTGGTTAATAACATCCTTCCAATGATTGCTCAATTTGTATCCATCTTCTCGGTTGAAGTTACGTCTATGTTTATATATCTGGATGGCTTCATGAACAAACCTTTGATAGTTGCCCGAAGGTTTGCAGAGTACCTTGATCTCGGAAAAAACAATATCATGCGAGCCCACAGCGTTATAGCAATGGTCAGCTACGGCAGAGGTATTGGTTCTGCTGTAGAGAAGATGCCGGGAGGGTATTCTGAAGTGGGGGAGGTGACCTGCAGACCTTGCGCTCGTCACCTGTTCTAGAGGTATGTGCTTCCAATATAGCAGGCCACCCAGGTTATACAGTGGGTGTGTTAACCATAAAAAATTTACAGTGGATGTTAAAGATGCTGTCACGTGCCAGCGTTATGGTCCAAATTCGCCATTTTTTTTTTATGAACTGCTTGAGAAACGCATGGCAATTGTCGCCCCCTACTGCGAAAACGTAGTGGCACCCTCCTCGTTCTAGAGCCTTGAAAGTCAGTGAGGTTTGTCATTATTTAGTTTTTAACAAGTTTTTAACACAACTAAATAAAAACAAACAATACAAACTAGGTGCTAAAAATAAGACAAAAAAATATTGAGATTATTAAATTGCAACCTCATATGGTGACAATATAATGTCTAGGTTACTGGGTGTAGTTAATCGCTCCACGCTTAGTGGTCCGTACATTTTTATTTTTCAAGCACTGGTAAAAGACCGACCACTGCCAAAGGAAAAGTGAAATTTCCAATCCCAGTTCTGGTCTGCCAGTGGGACACGAATACTGCTCATTGCTTCTATTGAGCAGGGAGACTGCGACGCATAGTGGCTTTTGTATCGGTAAATTTGCTGGAGTTGGGTGGCTTTTAATTTCCGTCTGAGACAAACGTTTATTACTCGTACCGTAATTAGATACTTTTCTTTAAAAATTATATATTTTTATGTCAGACCACGTGGTTAGTATAATTACGCTTTTGTCAATTTCGCTGCTGGATTGACAAGGATTGACAAGGCATGCGGAGGCATGCCTTGTCAGCCGTTGGCCGTCGTTTTATCATTAACTGGTCATTGTGGGTTGGGGAAGAGGTTGCTCTGGACTGGTTCAAATTATCGCCACTGGTGTTAGCCATGGACAGTCATTCTAACTCAATTCACTGCTTGATCAAAGCCTGCCCATGTGGGTCGTGGTGGTTATTTGACCATATTTCACCACTCTGGTCAAGTGTGAGTTGGTGAAGGTGGGGAGTGTATATACGCAGAATCATTGAGGTACAGCCGAACAATGTATTTTTGCTGCGCTGCAATGTAGCCCTGCTGTGGGTTAATGTTTATCAAATAATAATCACCACTGATAATTATGAATGGTTACCCATTAAAGCGAAAGTCACGGAGTTTGTTATTCATAACCAATTTCCCAAGGTCCAAGACTCAATAGGAGCCCACAAAAAAAAAAAACAAGACGATATTATTTCAGAGAGAGCAGGACTCTGTATTCATATCGTGTTAAACTGAACTATATGAACCACACAACCTTTGCTACCTTCATGAATTGCTGTAAGGGGAAGGGAAGCCATTTTCTGTTCTGGTTTCCCCATGAAAGTTATCTGATGCCAGCGCTGGTTGTCGCTGATTCCCCGAAAATGTGTGTTTTATTGACATTTACAAGAGAGTATCGACACTGTATGTTTAATCATGAATGTAGAGCCCAATAAAAAAGAGTTAAAGTTCAGGCCTCCAGCCCTCTCATCCCACAACTTGGAAAGTTTCTCAATCCACCTCTCCCGTGATGAATTGATCACGTGCAGCTTATTTTGACTTTCTGCTTATTGACACCGTTATGAATGCTAGCATTTGCCGAAATATATCGGGCACATATATTTGTTTGATCCCATTCACGTGCAGGATAAGTATTTGGAAGGACAAAAACATTCTCATGTGTCCTGCCTATTTACCAAAACATTTCCATTGAAAAAAAGAAAACACTGATTAAAATAAAATTGTGTGAGTGGAATGTGTGTCAGGACTCTTTTATAGACGGGTCTGTCTTGGTCCGTTCAACTAATAATTTTTATTAGTAGAAAACTTGAGTACGCGGAGAAAACCCATACACAAAATGGGACTGAAACACTAAAATTGCAGATGAGCCTCCTATAACTCAAAAATCACATAAAAAAATAAGTGAATAGCATATGTCTTTAAAAAAATATATTTTACGTGTTGGGATTTATTTTGTTATCTGTGTCACGAGCACCCCTAGGAGTACTTGCACTTTCGTCTGGTTAGGAACCAGAGTATGGACAAATGTCAACAATGGACGAATTTCAAGGCAGAGCCTTTATTTAGCCTGCAAATGTATTATGCCCCGCGGAAAACGTACATGCAAATAACTACAGTAAGTATAAAAAAGGACGTGCAAATAACTACAGTAACTATATAACACATGCGTGCGAAACCTAAATAAACAAATACAAGAAAAATAAACAATAGACAAAACTAAATAAATAAGCAAAACTAAAGAAATAAACAAAATTTTACCTTAAAATATTTGTATTCACCAATTAAAATGTGCCGTTTTCTAATGAGTTTGGTATGCACTGGCGTAGCGTTTTTGATTTCCTCCAACACTTTAGCTTCATTCTTCAGAATTGTCCCGTTGTGTGGGGTACGCCGAGCTTGCAACTTAGGGGCCGTCCATAAATGACGTCACGCACCTAGGGGGGTGGTCAGACATTTGTGACGATGGGGGGGTGAGAAATGTGACGTCACATCAAAATGCGCAACTTTAAATATATATAGACACGTTCTACTTAATTAAATCGATTTTTTTAATAAATGTTTATCCTACAATATCAGTGCAGTGCCACATTAAATACGCTCTACAATGACAACAGTTTAAAACGATTTGAAGTATGCTTTTTTTGGGGGGGGGGGGGGCAGAGCTTTGTGACGTCATATTTGAGGGGGTGTCTGATCTTTTGTGAAACCTGATGACGAGGGAGTGAGGGTCGAAATCGTCCAAAATCGCGTGACGTCATTTATGGACGGCCCCTTATATCAGCAGGGGAAATACCTTGCTAATTACGTTTGTCAAGATTTTCTTGCAAATTGAGAACCTTATGGGATATTTTAGCTTTACTATCACCATACTTAGGACCCATTATGAATATATTAAAGTACAAAAATGAATATTTTACAGTAATCACAAAAATAAGCACAACATGAATACTGTACACGTGTTTTATATATAACTATTAACACTGTAGTATTCTACGATTATCACAAAAATAACTATGAATTGTTTACAATATAATCACAGAAATAAGTACATTATTAATAATACATTAATACACACAAATATAAGAGATGCTCACTAAACGACTTCTATTCAAAGACTGAACGAAAAAGATGGCGCGTGGCGCGAACGTCGTGGAAGGTTTGGGGATGAAATCGGACGAAAGACAGCCACGTGGACGAAATTTCAAATGTGGTTATTATTGAAAACGGCCGAAAGAGCAAAGCGACGAAAGTCAAGGTATTGCTGTAGTTTGATGTCCTTGCGCCGCACCTCCGATTCGCTTGTCTACGTACGTTGTGAAATAAATATGCCTGACGTATACGTGACGTCACTATGGGGGTGTGCGCGAAATGACATAATGGCGGTTGCCATGTGTGGTACAGTTACGTGGAGTTACCAAGCAGTGTCGCTGTGCGTGTGTAATTAATGTCAATTCCAAGCTATGTCAATTCTACACTTATCTGTGGTATAGAATTCTGCCTCATTCTTCCACGTGCCCTGTTAGAGCTATCGCTCATTTTTCACATTTTACAACTGCACAAAATAAGTTCGTTAAGTTCCTTCGGAAAAAAAGTGTCAGCATTCCACTTCCAGTGAACCTCAGCCTCCACCTTTGCTTTTGACACATCATTCGATCGAGACGTCGGAAATGCGGAGCCCTTAGCTCAAAGGCCCTCGTGTCCCGGCCTGAACAGGTGAGCGTTGAGCTGATGCTTGAAGGTGGATGGTGCTTGGATGCTGTCTGTGATTGATGCACCAACAGAGAAACACGACTCAGCCAGGACAGTCCTGGTTCTGAGTATGATCTTCTGGCGTATGGCAAGTGTTTGTCAATTATGTATCCAGGTTTAAGTTTGTGAGCCATGTGATAGCTTTAGAAGGAGTGCGACGAATACTCTGCCGGACAAAATGCGTAAGATGTAATTGTTTGGGTAATTGTTTGGGCTGTTTTCAGGCATTAGACGTGATTTCCAATCGGGTATGGCCAGACATATTCAAATCATGTTGTAAGCGGATTTTAGTTTTGTCACGTATTTTTTTGATATTTATGAGTTGTCTTTCCGACAGACCTGTTCTTCACCTGAGGACGGCTGCTTGCGTTGTGGCCGAAACGTCGTTAGAATTGTATTTTATTGTTTTATTTGTATTATTTTATTATTTCCCTTCTACGTGACTTTTCCGAAAGAACCAAGAAGATGAATCCCTGCAGTCACGAAAGCTTTAAATCGAAATGTTTATGAGTAATTTGAGGTTTTTGAATAAACTTAGATATTCGCTAGATGAACACATGCATCAGGGTGTCATGGTGGCCGAGTTGTTAAGGCATTAGACTTGATATCGAATAGGGTATATCCACACAGATTAAAATCTTATCTTTGAAGATTTGAAGTGTTCTCACATGTTTTTGTGACGTTTTTAAGGAATTTCGAGATTTCAGAAAAAGACTAGGAAACTCAGATATCTGTTAGAGGAACATACGTTTCAGTGTCATGGTGGTCGAGTG